TAATGATGAGTGCAAACCAGGATGCATCCTTCCTGTTCTAAGCAACACGTACTTTATTTTTGCTCGCCCTGTCCTCCTTTCTCCTATCTTCTATCTCCTATCTCCTATCTCCTATCTCCTATCTCCTTTCTCCTATCTCCTATCTCCTATCTCCTATCTCCTATCTCCTTTCTTCTTTCTCCTTTCTCCTTTCTCCTTTCTCCTTTCTCCTATCTCCTATCTCTTTTCTCCAAAATTGTTTGCTTTTTAGCGAAAAAGAAAAATTGTAACAAATTAATATTAATAAGTCTCAACTGACAACCTCTTATCGAAGGTGTAGGTGGATAAACACATTCAATGTCTAAATATATCTCAATGGATTAGGTTATATAATACGATTGGTTGTAGCTTGGATGGAAATCTTTACAGCATAAACCTCTCCGATTAAAACTTTAATACATCTAGCAACTGTTCGGTTATTAATTAATGTAAACAATTTTTCAAACAAAAAATAGCAAATGGACTCCTCAGTTCGAACTTCATAAAAAATATATCAAATTATTAATTTCAATTTTAAAAATCGCAGTAGAAGATAAAAAGACAAATGAGAAAAACAGTGTATCAATTTTATCTTCTGTGATGTTATAATAGTTTTTATTTCATTTGATAAATCCAACCCTCCTACCCCTGCACGGTTCAGTGTTCAGGATAGGACCCGGAGCTAGACTCATTATTTAAGTATCCTTATAATGTTGCAGCTATGTCGTAAATTATCTCCGATATTTCCACAAAAAGACCGAACCACACAGGCCAGAAATGGTCAACCACAAATTAATATACTTTGATCGGTATTTTCTTCTAAGCTGAGTTTAATCTATATTAATGTTCGTCTCGGAGTTGTCCGTCCGTCCTGCCTTTGATAGATTTACAGTAGTGGTGTGTGGGGGTTCTTACATTTTTTACAAGTATAGGTTTGATCTGGAGGAGGAAAGAGAAAAAGAGAAAAGGGGAAAGTGGGAAAGAAACGAAGAAAGAAGGGAGAAAGAAGTAAATGTGATAGGAAGAAAGGAGGAAGAATTGAGGGAGGAGTTAGGACGAAATGAGGTATAAATAAGGATGAAAGGAGAATGAAAGGAGTAAGAAAGGAGGAAGAAGGAAGAATGGAAGGAGGGTAAGGAAGAAATAAGGATGAAAGGAGGAATGAATGAAGAAGGAAGAACGGAAGGAGAAGTAAGAACGAAATTAGGAAGAACTAAGGATTAAAAGGTAAATGAAGAGAATAAAAAAGGGGGGTTAAGTTTGGTTTAAAGATAGAGGCTTTAAATGGGTTTATGGAAATAGGTTTTCAAGAAAAGTAAACTTTAGTTTGGAAGCAGGAAGCTGGTTTCAGTTTGGAAACAGGAAGATGGATTCAATTTGGAAACAGGTAGGTGGATTCAGTTTGTAAAAAGGAAGATAGATTCAGTTTAGAAGTAGGGAGGTGGTTTCGGTTTGGAAACAGGAAGGTGTTTTCAGTTTGGAAACCGGAAGGTGGTTTTAGTTTGAAAACAGGAAGGAGGATTTAGTTTGAAAACAGGAAGGTGGTTTCAGTTTGGAAACAGAAAGGCGGTTTCAGTTTGGAAACAGGAAGGCGGTTTCAGATTTGAAACATGAAGGAAGATTTAGTTGGAGAAGAGCAAGAGGGTTTTAGTTTCAGAACAGCTTGATTTAAAAGAAAAGGACCCAAGGTGGTTGTATTTGGGGTGGGGGGGGGGGGGAAGGTACTGATTGGGAGGTATAAGTTTGGTCTAGATTCTCTGATAAGGATTTATTACTAAATGCTTGACATGAGTTTACTCCCTCCCGGCACCCACTACCAGACACTTAATGGCGGAAAATTGATGATTAAATGGTTCAAATTTCATTGATTTTACAAAATTTTCAAGAAGAAAGAATGCTAAGTTCTCCAGATACGGAATGTGGACTGGTTGGATAAGAAAATAATTGTCCAGGAAACTTGAGTCTAATCAAGGTTTAGACTGGAGAAGGTTTCTCTAATAAACATGTAAACAATAGGATTAGAAAGGAATTGAGTCTTTGCCACAAACTCTGATTTTCTAATCACTATATCTTTGGAACCAAATGTTGCAGACCTTAGATATTTCAAACTATGAATTCTGTTAGATCAAATAATCTGAGTTTGAAATATCAAAGGTTTACAACATCGAGTTCTAATTATATTGAGGTTTAAATATTTGATTTTGTTCCAAAGACTCAATTCCTTTGTCTTGATGCCCTACATAAAATAACTTTATTGAAGGAATGAATTAATGAAACTCGAGCAATGCAATGAATATATTTTAGGTTATACAGCTAAAGCGTTTGTGGAGAACTGATTTAACCAGTGGTGAGAACTGTGAACCAGGTTTTCAAAATTCATCCAAATTCTCACGATTATAATACGAGTAATATAGTCCTTTCCATTGAATAGCAGGAATTTAGACCAGCTTTAACAAGATTGATATGACGTCTATAGTTCTCAATTAAATCAAATCTGTTTATCACAATTTCCAAGTTTTTATTTTTCAACGTTAACACAGTGGTTCGGGGGGGGGGGG